CGAGTTGCAGGTGCTATTCGCGCCGACGAATATATTGTCATTGGCGGCGCTTAAGAATACATTTCTTGTCTTGGCAGTACTGTTCCTGACTTCAAATAGGTTTCATGGTTCGCAGCGGCATGCGGAAGTTTGACTTGTGCGTGGCACGATAAGGGGCGGAGTCTAAGCAAAACAGTTGTTTCGCTTTGTGGCGAGCAGACGGACCAAAATGATTGTTAAAAACTTGAATAATGTGTGAACCTATGCGTTGACTTTAGTGTTTTGTCACTTGCTAATTATGAGATACCACAGCATCATTATTCTGTGATATAGGAAAAAAAAAGATGTTACAGAAGAGAGAGCAAATGAAAAAGCTTGTTTGGCAACTGCTATATCTGCACGGGCGTGCACGACACCTGTAATGAGGAAGGAAGTGGAACAGGCCCATGGAAGATTTCGGATTTTGGGCGAGTTGATGCTTCTTGTTGAATGTGAAGTGTGAAGCAGCGCGAACTGTAAATGACCACGCCGACGCCGACATTGTCTGCCACTATGCACAATTCACGCAAACATAGCTTTCATTGTAAAGCGAGTTTATTCACTAAACATAAACTATAGGGCACATCACTCTGCAGGCTGCATGCAGCGGAGGTGCTTCTGCTCTTACAGCTCTAGCCCGTAGGGGTATACGTTATACGGCGCCGATGCCCCGTCCAGGACTGTCTGCAAAGGCCACTGGATCTGTGGGCCGAGCAGGCAGCGGTAGCATCCGTGTGTTTGCTCGGGGGTTCATCCACCCCGGCGCTGCCCAGACGCAGCAGGAGTGGGCGGGCAAGCCCTTGTTGTTCCCAGAGATCGCGACCCGGGGTGCTGCTCGGGAGGCGTCTAAAAATAAGATCATGCGGCTCGCTTGCTTTTTCGCGAGATATAAATGAAGAGAGCGAGGGGTGAGGAAGGGAACAATATTTATGCTGTAGTAGTCGTCGTCGACGAGCGGGTCTCCGCGCATGCAGTGACGAGTTGACTCCTCCTTTTCGGGCAATTGCCCCCAGAGGTCGCGTTTCTGCGCCCTCTTGCGGTTCCGCCCGGAAAATAATAGTGCGCTTGAAAGGGGGGCAAAGCGAAGGTTGTTACGGCTGCATCCCGACGCGGTCACCGCAAAACGTTTGTTCATCTTGCGAGATGGCAGCTCGAAGCACCCAGCTGCTCGCTCTAATGGAAAGCGCTGAGAGGGATATTTATTGATGTTTCCCTAGCACCGTGATTCCTTTTTTCTTGCGTATAGAGAGAGATGTGCAGCTGGTATCGAGTGGTGCTTGCTTTCTGAACCAGATTTCCGCTGTGGGTAAACACGGAAGTTTTCCTCGCGTCCAGATTTTGTTTGCGAACGTTTCCACGCGCGCCTCAGGTCGAAATTAAAGACTGAGATTTATGGATTCAGCGGAGCTCGGGGAGCAGACGGCTGCGAGGAGTGGTTCGGGGCCGCAGTTCTGTACACCCGGCATTGACGCGAAACCTGAATGAGCTACGAAAACTTACAATCGTGTAGTTTTCTTGGAGGACTTTGTTCGGGAGTGATGGCGAATACTGAATTGCGCATGAAGATTCGAACGGGATGAGCCTTTTGCTGCTATACTTGGTTTTGGTACGACGCTGAATTCGGCGTCCGCCAACTACATCTAGCGGCGAAATATCGTGATTTATTCGCACCGCCTGATTCACGAGCGAAAGCTCACCTTTCGTCCACATGTGGTCGGCAGGCCCAATATTTGACACAAAGCCGCCTAAGGGCTTGTGGGTTGACTGTTCTGAGCAAAATAGCGTAATAGCGTTCTTGGGCACATGCTAAGGGAGAAAAAAAAGAGGGAGCGTTATGGGACAATCTTGAAGCCCAGCTATAATTTTGTTAAGCTATAAGCCTACACGAAATGAAGTTGTGGCATAGTGGCAATTGCGACTATAGAGCATAAAGAAAGAGGGGAGGGGGAGTCGTTGGAAGAGGTTAGCTTGTGGACACTAAGTGCGCAGGCTTGTCATATTTGTTTTTCTCATGAGCGCACCAAGAATTTGGCAGGACCATGATGGGAATAATAATAATAATAATAATAATAATAATAATAATAATAATAATAATAATAATAATAATAATAATAATACATTTTATTTACGAACACACGTGCGAATAAGAGGTGGCGGCTTCAGAAGAGGTTTGCGACGCTATAGGCGCTCTCCCGCCTAATTTGCTTTTTCTGCTCCATCGCCACGCACACAACACCTCAAGCTGAACGATTTTTCCGGTTGACCCGCTCGGCCTATAGATGCGTGCCGCGCTCGGTATTCTCGTGCAATGGCCACCGCCGATTTTGTTGTTATCTATTTCTCGAGGTTTCTAAACTGATGTCAGCGTGGCGCTTGTAACATCTGGCCAGCTCCGAATTTACGATCGAGGGGGGCGTCAGATCGGTCGCTCCCCTCGGTTGAAAGTGTCGCGGGGGCAACGCTCGAGTCAGTTCGCCCGACCGACCGCAACTGGCCGCACCGATTGCGACACACGCCCGAAACTTCGCGCGTTCCCACGACGAATCTGTCCGAGACGGGAGTGACTTTCGCAAGATTTATGCTGGCCGGCTCATCTGGCCTCGCGCAGTCGCCTAGCTGTGCGACTTCTCTTGTCTTCCGTCTTGTGGATCGTATTGTTTTTCCCCTTTTTTCAAACAAACACCGAGGAACGCCGTCAGGGAAGATGCATTACTTTTTTAGAACGCTAAAAATGTTAAATGGATGGCTTATGCAGATGACACTGCGCCTTTCTTTAGGGACACAAATTCGGACACTCCCACAAATTGTGCGAACACGATACTCCAGGGCATCAAAAATTTGCGTTATAGAAACTATTTAGGAATTAATGCTAAAAAAAAAGACGCACGCGATCATGTGTCGCCCAAAGCATAAGGCCCTAAATTTACAAGAAGGCTGTTTTTTAAACAATGAAGAAATTAAAATTTTAAACGAGGTAAAAACACTTAGAGTCATATTTTCCGAAAATTTGCTTTGGAACAAACAGGTCGACTTTTTTTTTGCGCGAAGCTAAACAAAATAACGGGTTATTACATAGGCGCTGACATGTTTTGCCCACCATTGTGAAACGCACTGTCTATAACTCTCTATTTCTGTCTTCAATAAACTATACTGCCACCTAGTTTGGGGTACAACATCAAGGCAAATTATTATTAAGCCTAAACTATGTCAAAAACGAGCCACTCAGGCTGTAGGAAATCTTGCTTCCAAAGAGCACACGTTCAAATATTTTTACGAATACAAAATCATGCCAGTTAAGTTCATTTACTCATTTCGTCTAGCTTGTATATACTGAAATGCATTTAGAAAGGGAAATGTCAGGTATGTAAATTTCTTTAACCTTCATCGTCGCGAAATTTCATATAGCACAAAACATGCGGATCTTTGGTCAGCACAATTTGTCGCACTAACTATGGGCAGTAATCGGTATCCTATCGTATTGCTGAACTTTTAAACACTTTAAATACACATGGAATAAACCTGGACAACATGTCTTCTCGCTCCTTATTCACCCATTTCATTTCGCTTGACCCCGCCGTGTAATTCCAGCAGAACATCAATATGTGAGCATATACCAAATGTACATATGCGTTTACCTGTTTATTTTGAGTTTGTTCTTGCCATTACGTTTTCTTTTTCTTATTTGGTTGTGATTGTTCATTGCCCTATTTTTTTTTCTAAATTATTTCGTGCGTGTCTTATTGATGTCGTGGCGTAGCGTAGTTACATTTATGAAAAAAAAATCCATTTACTTTATGCACCCCTACGCTATTGTATCTATACTTATGCAAAGTGCCTTGGATTATTGTTAGCATGCCATGTACATTCAGTGCTGCACACTGTCGAACTGTAACACAAGGGGGCCGGGCTTAGTAAAGCTGCAAGGCAGCTTTTTCCCGCAACCCCCTTTCTCCTTGCGGAGATGAAAATAAAGTTTGATTTGATTTGATTTGATTTGATTGTACGCTTTCGTGCGCGCGCTTTGGTGTTACCGCTCTCCTTCATCGGCACACCACTAAGATGGTCGCGTCTGTCGCGCTTCTGTGGCAGTTTGACTGGTCTCTCGTTCGGGGTTGGCTGTTCGGAATGTGCTTTTGAGGCTGTTCGCAGCGAGTCCCGTCAGGACGTCCGTCGCGGTGATTTCTGCCTTGATATAGAAGTGGCTGCCGATTAACAAAAGCTTTGTCAGCCTGTATTTCTATTTGCCCGCGTTTATATTGAATGCACTGTGCTCTTACGGCGAAGATGCATACACCGAATGGTTTCGTGGACCCCCTTAAAGCTCCTCTGTTTGGTGCAGCTACGTGAATGTTGCCTAACTGTGGCTGCTCTCAAGTTTCCCGGTGGTGCGCGATCGAAGTGGTCTGTATGCTCGCCACATGAAGCATAATACACATTGCGACACGTGAAGGCGATAATTGTGCGACTTGGCCGGGTGGCGTTTCTCCTACGGGGCACGATTTGAAAGAAACTCGTCTGCGTGATATCTGAACGAGGAGCAGCGTCACACTGTCTCGTGGCACTATTATTGCACGCTCTTCACTACTCCCTCCGTTCATTTGCATCACAGTGTTCGATCAAAAACTTGGAGAGTCGTTTCGGTTGGCGGGTTCGTACTGGTTTAACTGTAGATCACTGTTTATTAGCATCATAACCCTAATTTTGGTTTCAGCGCTTAAAGTTGTTTAGTGACTTAGTCAGCGGCGTGAACTAGGCAGGAGGCGATTTATGATTCCAATTTCATTTTTTTATTATATAACTCTCTCATATTCTTGGTGTTTCATTCTCGTCTCGCGTGTACATGTTTGCCTGCGCCCGTCAACTCCAGCGGCCACTGTTCTCGCGCAGCGACACCTGAGTCACCTCGCTCGCCGCCGCTCGCCAGGTGCATGCGTTTACAATCCGCGACGGCCGAACGCGGCTGGCATTCGAGTGAGTCAGGACGTCGGCGAAGGGGCGACTGCATTGCGGCCTATTCAGATGTATTCGTGCAGCTGCAGCACTACCCGGCTTCCGTCAGCGTAGCAGTAAGCATGAAACCGGATGCTCAAACGCACCATTTTCCATGGCGGCTCGCCTCTAACCGTCTCCGGGGTGTTTCGGGATTCCTTGTGTATTTCGGATGCGTGGCATGTGTGCTGATTCACTGATCACGATGCATGCTTGTACAGTTACGGAAGGCATTTTGTTTTCGGGTAAGTAATCACAAAAAAATAAAGGAATAAAGAAACAACGTGTGACGAGCCACACCAAGCAAGATGCTTCAATTAAGTTATCTGAAGGTGAATAATGATCTCTTTTTTTCCCTAATAACTCCAGATTCTTGGTATCGATGCCAATTTTTCTCTTTTAGCATACCGTCGCACTGTATAGTGTGCAGTACAGAAAGGGCCTTTCTAATCGAAGTTATTGCACACTTCCATCGCTTTACGATCTCTGTTACCGCAGTGCGCGGAAACAGCGCACCTGCAGCCGATATTTGTATACATCGCGGTAACTGGAGTAGTTTACCTGTCATGTAGAGTGAGCTTAAGAGAGACAATGCAAATCCATCTCAGGAAGACATATGTTCGGACGATATGCGCGTGCAGATTTGAAGTATTCTTGATATGTGCATGTTAGAAATGCATGGTATCGTTTCGCTCAAGTTATGTTACTCACGCTGTCGCTAGCGCTCACCAGCAAACAGTAGTCTTTGTGCGTGTGTGTGTGTGTAGTATTAGGTGTAGACTTTGAAGATCAAGGCAATGCCTAAGTTAGCTCTCGTCTCGCGTGCTGTTTATGAATCGGCACTTAAATTTGCGTTTCAACGTGACTTTGTAAATGATGGAGTACGATTGGCGGACTCTCTTCCAGCATTGCTGTTTTTTTGTTTTTCGTGTTCGTCTCCTTCTTTTTCCTTTGTCAAACACTAAATTGCCTTCTCTTCACGCTACCTGGCTTTGTTCGTGAATCCATACGCACCGGCTCGTATATATAGATGCATTATTTTTGTGCGATGCCATTGTATTACGCTGCTTTTGTGTGGGACTCACATTTTGGCGTTGCTTGCGCTGTGCTCGTAGCTGTGTCTCCTTGTAGCCAATGCACGATTGCCTTCGAGAAGTAGCTGTGCTGCGCCACCGTGTGACTTTCGCGCACTAACACACGCGTGCAAACTGAGCTGTGCACGTCGACTACGTTCACATCTCAAGGTGCCGGCTGTGTTACGAATTCGTATAATCTCGGCGACATGGTGGAGAAGTCTTTCTTGCATGATCTTTCTTATCTGGTACCTCGGCGAGTGGTGCGAGGAAACGCTGATACTCGCGTTGTATTTAAGGCGAAAGTCGCAGATGCTCACAGATGCGAAGATTCAACGTCGGTGTCGGCAGCGTTGGCGTCAGCACCAGTGAAGCAAAAAAAAAAAAAAAATCACCTGGTGTCGTCACCAGGTAACGTCATCGTGACTTCACAAATCGACAAAATTTGTGGTGTCACATAACGTCACGGGATGACGTCATAATATACAAGTCATCGTCGCTTATTCGTATATGGCGCGATCAAGCAGACAGTGCTAAGGTCCCTAAATGAAACAAGTTGTTTCATTAGACGGTACAACATCGCGATAAGAGCAGAAAGCTTCTAGGATGAAGGCGGGTCAATACATAGCGAAGAAAAAGATCGATTTCTCCTCGAGTAGTCTGAGGCGAATGCATAAGCTGCACAAGGTTCTTTGCTGCTGGTAAGGCAGATAAGCCCTGTTATGGAGTCATTGGCGCCGCAGGGGCGCGCTGTCCGCCCTTCTTTGCCACAAATATTTGGAAGTGGTCATCACATTTACCAGCCTTTTTATGCTGTCATAGTGGATAACATTACAGTTTGATTCAGAGGGGCTGTGAGCGGCGTCCTTAACTTGTAAGCCCTCGAGTGCAGGGAACTGCTGGGAAATTTTCTGCAAAAAGATTGAAGATTGTGCGCATATCTGTATGTAATTTTGTTAGCAGTTGTAAAGAATTCGAGAAAGTCAAAGCCAGGCTCTCGACCAGGTAACGGCAGAAACAAGGCGCACCTCTGTGATCCCATAAGTGCACTGGCTATCGGATAACCTCAAGAAGGTGACACTTCGCGATAATATTGGGGCAGTCTTTTCCGTTACCGATAATCTCGGGAAACTGTGTGCCATTACAAACCCAGCTCGAGCTGAAAACGTTTCTAGTACAAAAAACACGAGAAGGAATTTGTCGAGTGCAAGAGTTCCGAGATTTATGGCGTTCCCCTGTCAAGCTGACATAAGTATGTCGGTTAAACCGGCAGGTGCATGAATGACGAATTGAAAGAGCATAATTACAAGTAAAATAAAGTGGCACCTTAAGGGTTTCTTGCACTCCACGTTCATGCGTGTGGTACTTCGTTTCATAGAACAGTCACTGTAGGTCGACATAAAGAAGAGATCACACGTCTGACTGTAGAAGCGGAACTTATCGATGCACTAAATGATCTGTGTGTTAGCAAGCCATCTTGTCACGTAGTCTTTCGCGCAAAGGCTGATTAATCGTCGTCGCAAGTGTGAGTGTTTTTTTTCGCGCATGTTCTTACCGACGTTCAACTGTCTGCCTGGCGATAGTAGCACATGTGGTCTGATTTTTGAAAAGGAACTTGCGTCCCTTGGCGCTACATCAAGTCTTTTCAAATACATCACCAACAAGGCCACATGGCAAATCTCGTCTTCTGTGCAGACGACGCAGAAAAAAATCATTGATCTGTGCTGTCCTTGCCTTTCACGTTTCGGTAAAGAAAAGGACGTCATCGGATATTTAGCATGCATGTGCTGTGCCGGACAACAGATGAGCCTACACCCTAAGGTGTCTCGCCCCTAAAACAACGTCGTTGCTAGATACCAGGTAGAAGCGTGGAGGTTCGTGCCTGCTGGTTACGCTTCTCAGTTGCAGACATTGAACGCGAATATATATCTCGTATGCAGTTGGCACGTGGAGGGCATCATACGTGGGCAGCGGACAATGTAGTTCAGGCGTGCGCACACTTATTCAGGGTTGCGCGGAAGCGGCATACATTCTGCAGACGCATGGGCAAACGTAATTATTTCAAGTCCGCATGAAGGTGAGTGTGATTTTAACACGAAAGTGTTTTATGCCGGGGTCCACGGAGACTTAACTGGCGTCACTTTTGCCATGGAAGTGACGTGTTGGTGAAATGTGCGTGAATTATACCGACACCGAGAATGGAATTCCGACAACGCCCGTGCTGGTACGTCTGCAGCTTTTGCCGGAGCGAAGCCTCGGGGATTGTTGTTCTCATGGTGCGAAATTGATCATGCCGAAGTGTTGTCCGGATGCTGGATCGATTCAGAAGGATCGGTATGGCGGGTCAGTTGTCGGAGATACACTCTTAAGTGTTCATATAATAACTTGAGCGTTTGTAGGAGTTATAACACCCTTTGTTAACACAACGTGCCATCCCAAGACACGTTTTTATTGCTTGAATTTGCGAACGCTCTAATGTAGGCCTGCAGGACATGTGATTGTTGCTCATGATTGACAAGCTGTACTGTGTCTGAAAAGTGTCTCTTGCTATAGATATAATCAACTGTCTTTGCGATGAGCTTCGCATCATGCACAGGAGTTATCGAAGATAGAGCGACAATTTAGTTAAAAAAAAAAAAAAAACAAGCAGACGTAATTGAAATAGCTCATGCCAAAATATTTCTTGCCGCGATCTGATTACGTGCCACAGTCCGACCTCGAAGCACGTGGTATATGAGGGACACCAGATTGTTTTGGACTACTTGCGGTTTTTCAACGTGACCGCAAAAGCTCAGTGCTATAGCGTTTTCGCATTCCTGCCCAGCGCCCTGTCTAAGGATAAATGACGACGTAGTGTTTAGGAAGGCCTTAGCGCCAAAATGTTGAGGAATAAACGGACACTTGATAAGCCCAAGAAGGCAGTTACGCGAGACAGAGGGTATTCGTGTAAGTTGACTATATATATTTATCGTTTACGATAAGTTTCGGGGGATACAGAAAGGAATGCTCGACGCTGCAGTGCCATGTGCGGCGTTTTCATTTGTGTGTAGCATATGGCGTAGTTTATGTTACATTTATTAGCTCGTCGACTTAGGGAAGTAAGTAGCTTAAACGTTATTTGTGCAACCTGCGCGAACGGCGACGGTCTTTTTATCGCTGAAATGCTTTTGTGAGATCGGGGCTATGCTTCTTGACCGTTAGCGTCGTCGTATATAGGATATATATCTTATCGGATGAGTGGAGTTTCTCCCAAGCCGCCAACGAGTGCGCGCGCCTCTCTTGAGATTGTTTTAGTCTCCCTCTGCGTCTGCCTATTTTTTCGATAGCGTTTGTTAGTGTCGCCGCTGCTCACTGATGTTTCGTTGTTTGCCGTGCGCATTTTCGCGCTTGAATTATACTCTAGATTTTGAGCTTTTATGGGGTCTCGTGGTGCAACAACAAAAATACTTGAACGCTCGGAAGGAAGGTAGTGCGACAACGCGAAAGCTTCAATATATATATATATATATATATATATATATATATATATATATATATATATATATATATATATATATATATATATATATATATATATATATATATATATATATATATTACAATACGCTAACTTCTTAGGTGTTTTTTGTTGCTGGCTGTCGAAATCGAGCTCGTATAAAAAATGTTGCTTATTGAAGACCTATTTGCTGTAGCAACTAAACAGTAATTACATGTTATTATCCGTCTTCCAGTTACTGAAACAAAAATTACGGCATATATATGGGATGTTTCTCGCCACGAATTTGAATATTGATATATAAAACTCGGTGTTACAATACTGCGAAATTTAAGGACACGTTGAACATTGAGCCTTCAGCGCTCCGAGAGTCATGTAAGGGGAAAATGAGAGGAAAAACATAAAAAGCATTTTTTTATTATCATCGACCGGAACTTGATTAGTTTATTGCGGCGTATACACCGAAAGCGATGGGCCACTTTTGTTAAGCGACGTCAATCTTGGTTGG